AGATACTTTGTCAAGGATGCCTCAGCACAACAGCTCCAAAGTAGAAGTACAGTAGTTAAACTGATGCTTCCCTCATAGCAGCTAACCTCACTCAAGTAACCATGAGAGCACAAGAAGACAGTTTTAATGGCCTTCCCTCAAAAAGGACATCAAAACTATGTATCTAGTTGCCCTATTTGTGTTTCAACAAGGGAAAACACCAGGACCACAGCACCCTGGACAGAAATTTTTATGGATTTTATTGTAGAACTCCCAGAAAGCTCGGGGAACACAATGATCTGGGTAGCAACCAACCTTTTCTCCAAACTTTATTCCATGCCAGAAAATACCCACAGCTAAGGCTCTAACAAAAATGTTCCTGCATCACATAATATATTGACTACATGGGGCTCCACAGAGGATATTTTCAGACCGAAGGGCTCCAATTCACACCCAAGTTTTGGAGGGCCTTTTTGGAGTTATTTGGTACCAAAAAAGGACTAAGTTCTAGCCATCATCCTCAAACCAATGGTGGGATCGCGAGATCTAACTCGCTTCTGGAACAGTATCTATGATGCTTTATCAACTACCAACAAGACAACTGGACTGACTTCCTGCCGTTGCTGAGGTGGCTGACAACAATGTGGTGCATAGTAACAGCACTGGCTTCACTTGATTCCAAATAGCTAATGGACAGGAATTTAAACCTATGCCTGAATTACCCATTACCAATTAAGATCCTGTGGTCCCTTTGTTGAAAGACTGGATCACTCAGTTACAAAACACCTGGCCTGTTGTATGAAAGGCCCTAGATGAAGCTGCTTACAAAATCCAGGCAGACAAAAAAATGGATTGAGCCCAAGGAATTTAAAGTGGGGGATCATGTATATTTATTTGTCTACACATTTCCTCCAATCCTTATAACCCCTCTAAAAATTAGGCCCTAACTTTATAGGCCCTTTCCCTAGTAAATATATTATAAATCCTGTTACAGTAGAGCTATAAGCTAAGTCCTTATGGAAGGTCCACACAGTTTTTCATTGCAGCCTATTGAAACCTGAATCTATCTTGCCTTTATGGCACAAATCCCCTCCTGTCCCTGAACCTTTTATGATTGAAGGCGAACAACATTTTGAGATTAAGCAGATCCTTGATTCATGCATGCACAGAGGAAAAGTTCAGTACCTAGTTGCATGGAAGGATTTCCCTAGTTCCCAGAATGAGTGGATTGATAAATTCCACGTTAAAGCCTCTGCTTTACGTAGACACTTTCATTACCAGTATCAGTGGTGGGATTCAAATTTTTTTACCACTGGTTCTGTGCAGTGGTATATTAACCATTAAGCAGACTAAGCACGTGCTTAGGACACCAGGCCCAAAGGGGGTGGCACCACAAAAACTTTTATGTAGCCTAAGCTTGGCTTCATTTGTACAGTATGTACAAAGGAGGGGGCATCAAGATTTATCAGTGTTTAGGGCACCAGTGAGCCTTAATCCGCCATTGGTTCTGTGAGCGTGGCTTGGTAGGTGTGCTTTGCACGCATGCAGACGGTTTGCTACCGACCTTCTCCTGCAATCTTGCACTCTGCCTGTGTGTTAAACAGCTGACGCGCGGCAATCCGCTGTATCACGCAAAGCAGCTGAACTTCAAAACCAGGAAATAAAGGTCAGGATAGAACCGGGCCCAGGAGCTGATTGTCGGAATGAACCGGTTCACTTACAGATGATCCTCGGAGCTAACGGTTCGGCCAAACTGGGCCGAATTGGTAGAATACCACCCTTGACCAGTATACCGATTAACCAAATAGGGCCCAGTGCTCAAATCTGTCAAGATCCTTTGGAATCTTGAGTCTGCCTAATAAAGTATTAGCAATTTCCAGAACTACTGCATATTTCCTTCCATATAGATACAGTTTCATTAAGGATAACTCACTGAATGTGGTTAGTTAGCCAACTGTAAATTCCACTGACAATGGTTCTATCTATCCCACATTGTTCTATCTTAGCAAGAGGTAAGCTGCTACTTTATCAAATGCTTCCGTGAAATCTAAACATACTATGTCCAAAGCATTTCTTTGGTTTACTAATTTAGTCACTTTGTCAAAGAAGGAAATAAGATTTGCTTGGCATGATTTGTTGTTAACAAATCCATGATCACAATTAACATTAATAGGAGCTTATTTCCTAGCATATATTGGTTGCATTTAGGCATCATTTATATGCCATAGGGCTATAAATATATTTGGCTCATGAACTCATCCTGTCTTTTAGTTTTCCACCATGGGCACAAGGGATTTTTTTACTAGTTTCATGTCTTAACTAATTGTGGTTAGCTATAATACCCCAAACTAAAGGTTAATTTCAAACACAGATTTAGGGCAAATTGTTTACACATAAGTGACAAATTGAGATAAATCCAAAGTAGTAAAACTTTACAAATTCTTTCCATCAGTTAAGGAAATGTGTTTATTTGCATAAACCATAGTTTATAACTAAATCTAGCCATTGGTTGAGAATAATAAGGCTTTGGGGCTTCTTTCCCTGAGAATTGGTAAGGGTCATATAACTGTAACCACAAAAGCAACTGTATTTTGTGAATAGGCTAGAACCCTCTTTTTCCTCTATACAAATTATAAAATACTACTTAACATTTTCCAAAGTAGGTCTATGGATTCAGAACATTTGAACTTCTAAATACTTTTTTCTCATTATCAAACTCTGATTAAAATTAAGTGAGCAATTCTTACTGAGCAAAAAAGAAAACTTATTAAAATTTGTCTTGGCTTTTGATTTACTATGTTTATTTTAAGTTATATTAATGCTGAATCACAAGAGCCCATCTTAATTTTTGCTTTCTTTTAGATAGCAATCTGCAGCTATTCTCATGAAAAGCTGCTGTTTGCTAATATTTACCAAGACACAAACATACTTATCAACATTATAATATACAACTTATCACAGATGTTTTATGTTTTAATACAGAAGATTCTTAAAATGAATATAAAGCTGAAACCAGAAGCTTTTCTTTTAGAACTACTGGAGAAGGAACTTCATTATTACGTATGTTGACTGCAACAAGAATTTTAAATATGCAAAAATGTCAATTCCCACAGTGGTAGAATAAATGGAAAAAGTGATAGAGCTAGCAGAGATGGCAAAATTAACTATTTTAATCAAATAAGTGAATATATTTAGCTTTGTTTCTACTTGGAAACTGCTTCTAGAGCAGCAGTCGCCAACTGGTGGGCCGCGAGAAAATTTTGGTGGGCCGCAGAGAAATCTCACCCCCAGAGTACCCCCACAAAGCAATTAATCCAGGCTACACAGAAACACAAGGCTGCACCACCCACATGGCCCGTGGGAACCCTCCCCACCCACTCACTCCTTACCCGGTAAACTTGTCTACTAAGTTGCTATTTTTCCTTTTTCCGACCATCATCTGTTCTGCTGTGCCAGGAGATTTTGATTGAAATCCAATGGTTGGATTTCTTGCTTTCTAGCTAAGCACAGCCAAATCTCCCTTAGGACTGAAAGTTTGCTTGCAAGCAAATTCAGTGCAGACTCACAACAAGCAAATTTGAGAGACTGAGCTAGCCAAGGGCAGATAGCTAGATCACTGAATGATTCTGTGAGCAACTCAATCTGCCTGCTTTGCCTGATTTTGGATAAAAGTTTCTTTTTTATATAAAAAATTCAATATTTACATATATGGTGTGTTGTGAGTTCATTTTATGAGTTTGCTTGCAAGCAAATTTTATGTGACAGACTGAGCTAGCCCATAGCAGATAGATAGATTTCTGAATGAATCTTTGATTCTGTTCGCAACTCAATCTGCCTGCCTGCCTTGCCTGATCTTGGGTAAAAGTTGATCTTTTTTTATAAAAAAAATTCAATATTTATATAAATATTTATAATATTTACATACAAGCCATGCCCAGCCAGTCACATGACCACCAAGCCACACCCACAAATCAGGCCATGCCCACAGAACCAGTTAGTGGTCCCTGGGATCTAAAATTATGAGTTTGGTGGTCCCTGACGTCCAAAATGTTGGCGACCCCTGTTCTAGAGCAGGGGTATCAAATTGGATTTCTTCAAGGGCCAGATCAGCATTGTAGTTCTCTGCAGGCCGGTGGGAGTGGTGGTGATAGGGTGGCTGGACAGATGCCTCCTGTAGCACCCTGCTGGCCAAAATGGGGTAGTGGGGGGGGCGCATGGATTGAGCCTCATTTTCACTCTCCATTGTCTCCTGCATTACCCTGCCAGCTGAAAATGGGCCACGTGGGCCATTTTTCAGCCCGTTTTGGGCCAGTTTTTCGGCCATTTTTCAGCCTGTTTTTGGCGGGCAGAGTGCTGCAAGGAGGCCATGGAGGGTGAAGAAAGGGTCCCTGCACGTGGCTCGTTTTAGCTGCCAGAGGCACCGCAGGCTGGTCCCTTGATATGTCCAGACTAGCCCCACGGGCCGGATTTAAGCACCCCCTGTCCTAGAGTGTGCTTGAAGCAGGCAAAATGAAATTCTGACTGGGTTTGGCTGATTAGATTAGTTTAAAAATTAGTTTACTACATATGTAAAAGTAAAAAAAAAAAAGAGGTTGCAACATTTTATTGCACAAAAAAAAAAACATTGGAAATCAATGTTTTTTTTTCATCTTTATCCCACACCTCTCTTCCCTCTTCTCTTCCTCCCTCATTTACCTATTTTTATTTTCTTTTGTATTTTATATTACAACAATATTCAGTAAAAACATATTACCCAAAATATAATAAAAGTCAACCAAAGCACTCTACAATGCATCATTTTTCCAAACTGTGACATGAGAAGAAGACTGTGGAAGAGTTTTAGAAAATGCCTGAAGAAAACCACACGTTTTAAAAAGAATAAAGTTACAAAAGTCTAATTTTTTAAAATCAGGAAGAGACTCTCTACCCTAAACAGCTTCCAAGCTGAACAGGAACCATATGTTTTGTAACACATACAAAGCAAAGTGTTGTCTGTAAACAAAACCAGAAAATATATTTACCAGCATTGGATCCTGTCAGATTATAGCGTGCATTTAGTTTTTTTATGATGCTTTCATGAATTTGAAACCAGTCACTCTCTGTGTTACACCTGTAAAAGAAGTAACATTGTTAAATATTGATCAGAAGTTAATGCTGTATCAACAGGAAAAATAAAAAATGTGAATGATCTAGTCCGCACCAGATTTAAGGATGTCCTGAGCAAACTTTCCCTTTGAAGTAGCTATTCAAATAGTTACTTTTAGCAACAACTTTAATCCACTCACACATCATTTTACCAGATTTATCAGCTAAGAGAGCAGCACAAGTTCTATTGTCTGTTTACATAATATAAATATGTAACATGCATGCAATGCAAAACCTTGACACAGTATTGTTTCATAACATTGTGTGCAATTCTAATTGGTATATGAATTACTGCTATTAGGCAAGTTTGCACATGAATATCGACTATATCAACTGTTATTGCCAGAGGGATATGAATTTACAATAAGTGAATCTATCAGTAAGTCCAAGATATTTTAATTTGGATTTCTGCAAAGATCAGAAGTTGGACTTTGTGGCTTGACATGGTCCCTTCCAACTTCATGATTCTAGATCTTATTCTCTGATTTATTTATTTATTTTCCAATGCTTTATTGGGTTTTTTCATTTATATATATAACCATTACTTAATAAACAGTACTGTGACATTTTGTATACATTTCTGTATCCAATCTAATACTTTCTATACATACTACCTCCATACTTCCATACCATCATATCTATTATATACATTATTTACATTGTCTTTTCTTATTTCTATTGTCAATCCAGATATACCATATTTCCCATATTGCACAGAATTCTGCATCTACTTTTAATTCCATGGTTAATTTATCCATTTCCGCACATTCAAATATTTTTTTAATTATTAAACCTTCAGGTGGAGTGGAGTTTTTCTTCCAATACTGCACATAGGTAATTCTTGCTGCTGTTAATACATGTAACATAAGATATTTTAACTTTCTATTATAATTTCTTTTTATTATTCCTAAAATAAATAATTCCGGGACAAAATCAATTTTGCTTCCAATTAACTCCTGTAACCACATTTGTATCACTTTCCAATATATTTTTTTGCTTCGGGGCATGACCACCAAGAATTAAAGAAGGTACCTTGTGGTTGTCCACATTTCCAGCAATTTGGTTTTAAGTTTGGATAAATCTTAGCCAACCTTGAAGGTGCCATATGTCAACAGTAGAACATTTTATGTTGATTTTCCTTATAAGCCGTAAATTTTGTTATTTTATAATTCTTATTCCAAATTTTTTGCCACTCTTCTAAGTCAATACTATGTCCAACATTTCTACACCATGCAATCATTGATCCTTTGACAATCTCTTCTGCTCTATCAAATTCTAATAAATATTTATACATCTTTGATAATAATTTCTCATCTGGGCCAATCAAGATTTTATCTAGTTTTTGTGGTTCATTGTCCTCACTATCTTTTTAATATTTCGTTTGTATTTGCACATAGGGCCACCAATCTAATTTTATTCTCTGCTCTTCCAATTCCTGTCTACTCTTTAATTTCCCTTGTTTATCTAAAATTTCCCTATACCTGGCCATTTTCTTAACATCCATTGTATTAGGGTGGATCACTGCTTCCATAGGAGATATCCAACTTGACATTTTCAGATAATGTTTATTCTTTATTTGTCTCCATTATTGTATCACCACACCTCTTATTTTATGTCTATAGAAGTATAAATATGGTTTGTTTCCTTTATCCCACAGAAAGGCATTCCACCCTCTTTGTAAGTCATGCCCTTCTATGGTTAGTATTCCTTTGTTTCTTAGATTGATTCAATCTCGTATCCATACTAGCATTGCCGCCTTATGATAGAGTTCCCAATCTGGGAGTCCAAGGCCACCTCTGCTCTTGCTATCCTGTAAGTCTTATAGCTTTATTCGCACTTTCTTACCTGCCCAGACAAATTTTAATTCTGTAAAAAAAAATTTTTTCTAATTTTGTTGAGGATGTTTGAAATAGGTATAAAAGCTTTGGCAAAACATTCATTTTAATAGTTGCTATTCATCCTAATAATGACAATTGTAAAGTCCCCCATTTTTCCAAATCTTTTTTAAATTTGATTAAATAATGTCATATAGTCTTCTTTTATTGAGGAACATCTTGCCATTAACCATATTCCTAGATACTTAATGTTTTTTGTAATTTGTAGTCCCATTATGGTTTCTAATTCTTTCTTGTTTTTACTAGCATTTTGTTTTTGACTCTGTTAATTTTGAGTCCTGAGACCTCTCCATATTTCTTTAATTCATATATCAAAATTGGCCCTGATTCTAACGGCTCCTTAATAAAAAACACCAAATCATCCACGAATGCTTGTAATTTGTACTCTTCTTTTTTTAGGTCTTGTTCCTCTTATTTCTGTTTTTTTTTTCTGATTTTTATTAATAATGTCTCTAGTGTCAAAATTAAGAGCAGAGGTGACAATGGACATCCCTGGCAAACTCCTTTTGTTATTCTAAATACCGTAGTTATGTCTCCGTTTATTATTACATTGGCCTTTTGAAAAGAGTAAACTGTTTCTATTAATTTTTCAAATCTATCTCCAAATTTCATTTCCCTAATCTGATGTATCATAAATTCCCAATGTAAATTATCGAATGCTTTTGGGGCATCCAGAAAAACAAGGGTCACTGGATTTTTTAATATGATGCACTTCATAATATTCTAATATATTCATTACTATTCTAATAGTATCTCTTATTTGCCTTTGTGGCAAAAATCCATTTTTGTCAGTATGTATAACCTCATTTAGAATTTTTTGGGTCCTTCCTGCCATAATACTCATAAAAATTTTGTAGTCGGCATTCAAGAACGAAATTGATCTATAGTTTTGGATTTGATTTAGATTGGTACCTTCTTTTGAAATCAAGGTAATGTATGTTTCCCTCCATGATTCAGGTATTTTTACATTTAACAGAGCCCCATTGCACCCCTCCAATAATACTGGTTCCAATAATTCATCTAATTCTTGATATAATTCTCCTGGTAGACCATCTGGTCCCAGGGTCTTGTTTGCGTTTTGTTTTTGGATCGCTTCTTTCAATTCTATTAATGTAATTTCTCTATTTAATATATTCCTTTTTAAGTCCTGATCTATTTTCTCTGTTACTGTTATTTTTTGACTATAGAAATCTTCAAAATATTTTAGAGCAATCATTTTTTTTCTCTTCTTCATTATTTTCTAGTAGTCCTGATTCATTTTGAAGCTGGTATATTATTCTTTTTTCTTTTTCTTTTTTTAATTTATAGGCCAGCCATTTCCCTGGCTTATTCACACTTTCAAAAAAGTTTTGTTTATAAATTTAATATCCTTTGCATTGTCCTCCTGTTGTAATAAGTTTAATTTATGTTTGGCCAGATTCAATTGTTCTTCAATTTGATCACTCCCCGGATTTTTTTGTATTTGTTTTTTCTAGATCTCCAATTTCTAAATGTAATATATTATGTTGCCCCCATTTCTCCTTATTCCTTTTTGCCATGTAGGCTATTGTTACCCCCTGGTGTATGCCTTCATCGTATCCCACAGGATTTGCAATGATGTATGTTGTTTTTTCAAAAAATAGTGCCAATTCATTAGAGATTTCTTGAATATATTATTTTAATAGAATCCGAGAGTTCAATGTCCTTCTTCTTTTCTTTTCCTGTCCTCTCCAAATTACTTTAATGGGGTTATGGTCAGCCCAAGTGTTTGGGGGAATTTCAATTTTCTCTATTTCTTTTCCTAAATCAACATTTGTCCAGACCATGTCAATCCTTGAATAAGATTTACGTGGGTTTGAATAAAATGTAATTTTTTGTTCTGTGGGATTTAATGCTCTCCATACATCTATTCGATTTAATTCCTCCGTCATATCAAAAAAATGTTTTAGGTAATATATTTCTTTTCTTTAGTTTCTTATTATCACAAATGTAATCTTTTGCAGTATCTACTATTCCATCCCACAATGCATATGTCTTTTTGGCCTATTTCAATAATTTTTTCATGGAGTTTTTTATAGAATTCTTTTTGGTTTTTATTAGGTGCTTAAATATTTACTAGTAGCATCTGTCTTCATCCCATCTTTAATTCAGTCTTTAATATTCTTCCTTTAGTGTCTGCGTAAATTTGCTATGCTTCTATCTCTTCCTTAATGTATATCTCCACCCCTCTTTTTCCCCCCGCCAATGCAGTATGGAGTTTCCCCAATTTATTTAATTCTAAGTACTTTTTATCTTATTTCTTAATATGTACCTCTTGGAGGCACACAATATCTATGTTTTGCTTAACCAATTTTGAAAATATTTGTTCTCTCCTCACTACAGCATTTAACCCATTTACATTTATTGACAATAGTTTTAGTTCTTTCTCCATACTCTTATTGATCTATCTGTTTCTAGTTTCTATTGATTTTTTGTTGTTGTTTCTTTGTGTTCTGGTTCTAATGCCTTCTTCTTTCTTGGTTTCTTGTATCTCTTTTGCTTTATCTTCCTGGTCTTCTATTTTGGATTCTACCTGGCCTTCTTGACTTCCTTCCTCTAACTTCTCTCTACTACTATAATTTTCTTCCATTCCTGTCAATTGGTCGTATAATTCTTGGGCTTTGTCCAAGTTATCTATGTTTATCTTTTTTTCCCTGCCATGTTTTCTGGGACGATCCACCAAAACAAAATATTCTGTGTACTGCCAGGTAACGATAGTCTTTACGTTGTTCTCTAATTTGCCTTGATATTTGTTTCAAGGTAATGACTTCTTTCTCCTTGTACACTATGGGTTCTTCCCTTGTTATTTTGTATATGATTCCCTGACATTCTTTTGGACGAACCTAACATGTACCTCTTTGGGTAGCTGGTGTCTTTTGGCATAGTTCGTCTGGACCTTGTAGACCTCATCTAGCTCATTTATAATCTCTGGTGTATCCCTTTGCAGGGTTTCTGCTATCAGTTCCACCATCAATCTTCCTAGGTCTTCATCTTTGGTTTTTGTTATATTCTGAAATCTTAAATAGAAGGAGGCACGATCCATTTCTAAATGGATCAAGGAATCTTCCAAATTCTTGTTTATTGCCATCATGCATTGGTCAACCTGCTCCAATTTTTTCTCTGTTTGTTCTGCTTTTGCTTCTACTGTTTTAATTTTCTGCTCATTTTTTTTGGATCACCTCTTGTATAGAATCAACCTTGTTGTTCAGCTTTTGAATGTTGTTTGTCAATTACCTATGGTTTTTGGACATCGTCTCCTGTAGCTTCACCATCGTTTCTTGGATCATTATCAGTGTTGTTTGCATTGTTGGAGTGTTTTGTGTGGTTGGTTTGATTTTTTTGTATTTAGCATCCTGTCTATTGATCTCTGGGTTGATGGAGATGCTGTCGCTACTGATGGGTTTGAGGATGTTTTCTTCCCTGCCCTCAATATGGTCATAGTTATGCTGGTCATTTCTTTCAAAAAAAATATCTGCTCTCCTAAGATTTTATAAATACTTTCCCAAATTATCATACAATCGCTTTGTGGTTAGTAATATGAATTCTTGCTGTTCTTCCTTGTTTCTTTTATATCCAATATATTAGGTTGTATTGAATTACCTTAATGTGTTGTCAGGTTAATTACTGCTATTCTGTTTCTGTTCCTATTTGGATTATCAATATTATATCACTTACTATCTTAATCTCTTAAATATTTGATTTCTATTTCAGGTTTATGAAACTATCTAGTCAATACTGTGTTTTTATATATCTTAATAATTAATTTCCGTTTGTATACCTCTATTAGATATAATATACAATATAATATAATTGATGCTTAATATATGCTTAAAGTAGGTATTAATATAAGTATATAAATATATAAATCTTAGTTATAATTTAAATATAATTATATCTATATATGTTCCAAGAATTATGATCTGTTAATTAAATTATAATACATATACTTAACTACGGTTGATAATTGACATTTGGTATAAATATAAATTAATATAAACTAATATAATTAATTCTATAAATATTATAAGACTTATCTGTATTTTCTTTCCTAAAAGTATTTCAATCATTAAAATTAATACAAGTATTATAAGTTATATATAAATATTATAATCAATATAATCAGCACTTTCAAGGCATTTAATATAGTAATCCAATTTACTTCAAAGTTATTCCTCTAGTAAACTCAATCTCCAATTAATATAAAGTTACTTGATGTTAGATTGTTCATTTCCAGTTCCGAGTCAGCTAATAATCCTATTTTCCTTTCGTTGTTAATTCTAGGTTTCTTATAGTTCTCCTGCTTATTCGGTTATTGAGTTCTGTAGTTCTAAAGTTAATTTCTTCAGACGTTCACAGTTTTCTCCTGTTCTTCTTTACTCGTTTTGTTGTTCTCTGAGCCGCCGAAGGTATCCACTTCCTCTCCTCTGCTCCCGGGGCTTTCTCTAACAAATCCACAGTCATCTCCGAAGTTCTTTTCTTAACTTCTCTGTCTGCCTCAAACTTTCTATTTCTTTCAAGTCAATCCGCTCGACTGCTACTTCGTTGCTTATGGCACCAATCAAATCAATTCGCAGGGTTCTCCTTTTCCTCTCTCTCTCCCAATTCTGAAGTCTTCTACTCTCTGGCTTCCACTTTCGTCATTCTAGTCTTTTCTTTCCCTTTTTCACACTCTCTCTGACACTTTTACTATCAAAAATTCTTCCATTTTTTTTCAGTTTTAAGTTCAATAAATTAGAGCTCTTCCTTTTAGGTCGCCGCTAAGCTTTTCAGGGTTAAAACCCTCCCCTTAGAGCTTCCTCCTTTACCAAAAACCTCTGGAAATTACTCACTTTAACAGTTCAATCCTATGTGCTACGATATGGGATTTTCTCAGAATGTCACAATCCTTTCATTACAACTGCTTCTTCCTCTTCAGTTGTGACTAGTCATGGTTTCGAGTCCGCCATGTCAAAATGACAAAGCAGGACACTCTCCATGCCGGATTGAGAGAAATCCTTCAGTGCAGCGGGAAGTTGGCTTCCTCTTCACTGCACCCTGGGAGTCCCCTCTGCTTCGCTTCACTCTACAAGCTTCCTGGGCCTTCAAAGGGTCCCTGATCACAGAAAAATCAGAGTCAAAGGACGGAACTCGTCCATTTCACTCTGCACCACTCAGACATTGTCACTGGAAGTCTCCCTATTCTCTGATTTAAAGAAAAGCTTAAAAATATGTTGTCAATAAAAAAACTTAGTTGAAAAATAAAACTTGTCCACTGCTGATACATTCAATAGGGAACATTTCCAACTGAATTTTAACAAAAGTAAAAAGAATCCATTACACTACTAGCATTGCTACATTACTACATTACTAGCACTACATTGTTGTAAAGTCTGCTCAAATCCATTGCTTCCCACCGCACTAATTCAGGATCCTGGGGACCATAGTTGGAGAAAAGTTGCCCATGAGACACATAATGGTTCCTAATCCAAATAGTAATTTTAAAAATAACAAACATTTCCAGAATTTGGCTGATTAATAAAAGCCATAGAATAAGGTCTCAAATATTCCATCATTTAGGCTATCCCAAAACACAAACCTGGTTTTACTATACTACACTTTTTACCTCAAAAACAATTTTAAAATAAATAAAGTACCCGGAAGAGATTGGTGATGAATGTACGGATGAAGATGTCCTACTGTTTTTTCTGTACTGTTTTTCTAAAATTGTAATGTAGTCATATGATACAATTTATTGTATCATAGCAAATTTGCTAAGAATGGCCTACAGGGAAGAAGAGATTAAAGCCTTTCTCTAACCTTCAAGTGTTGGATTTCAGACTTTGAATCTTTACTCCTCCAGAAATTGAACCACATTCAGGAACTAGACAAAAATAGAAATTTCCCATTTTTTCTCAACTTTCAGAGTGGAATGAATATATTCTATTTCCACAGTTGCTCTGTCTGATTGAGTCTTACCAGCCTCATCTCTTATACTCAATAAGCAAATCCTTGCTGCAGATGGTAGGGAATAGAAAACGTTAAGTCTCTTCTTAGTTGTTATCAAGATTGCTATTCTCTGTTAAAAGTAAACTGATCCATGACCCCAGCTGATGGGTATACTGTATATACTGATATATATAAATAAAACAGGTTTCCCCATAAATAAGACCCAGTCTTATTTTCTTTTGGGCTCGAAAATAAGCACCAGGGCTTATTTTTGGGGATATCTTATTTTTTTTCACCTATAGGAGGCAGTGAGTGTGGGGACCAATGGGAGTGGGAGCGCTGCTACAACTGACCCCATTCTCCATCCCACCATCTCCTTGCCCGTGGCTGCAACAGGACAAGCGCTTGACGTACCCTGGCCTCCACCTGCCCTGCCTGCTGGCCTTCCTGCTCCTGGAACACTGGAGGTTGGGTCTTGCTCAGGCTATTGCTTTGATGAGGCAGAAGGCCATGCAGCACATCAGGATCAGCTCCCCCCTGTGCCTCTGCCCAGCTACTGGGCCTGCTGCACCTGCTGCTACTGGCCTCATGGGGGCTCTTCATCCTGGCTGTGCTGCTCTCAGCCGCCCTGCTGGGCTGCTCCTGTCTGGTACAGGGCAACTCAGCCCAAATGTACAACCTCCAGAGTGCCTCATCTGTTTTCACCTTTGGACTGTACCCCTCCCCCATGTGATCTCTGTGCCAACCCTGTAGTAGGATGGAGAAGGGAGGGGGAGAAAAAACCCCAACTTCCTGGCTGCAGAGCCCCCACCTGTACCCCTGTGCTGGAAAGGCAAGCAAGACACACAACTCAATGTTACCGGTCTGCCATGCAATGCAAGCCATGAAAAGCAACCTGCCCAACCATCTTGGCTCTGGGGACAATCCCGGATGGAGGGGCATGCGGGATCCCCGGGGTGGAGGCTTTCTGCTGCAACGCTCTGCCACAGCTCTGGAACAAACCTTCACCTTCCCTTAATAGGATTGCAAGACTGGAGGTCTTCGCAGCCTCAGGAGGCTCCACTGGTGACTGCTGGCAAAGGGGCCATGACAGGCCAGCAGGAGCAGCCCAACTGAGAGTAGTACAAGATGGAGCCATGCCATCTTGCCTGTCATCACCTTCAGGCTGTGCCCCTCCCCTGCCCTGGCAAGCTCTGTGGTGGCAATGCAGCAGAATGGAAAAAGGAGATCGCCCCTGCTTCTTTGTACCCCAAACCCCATCTTCTCTGGCCACTGAGGCAATCTACCCCTCCATTCTCTGATCTACTGCAGGGCCGCCATGGAGCTCCTGCCCACTGAAGCCATAGGGTGGCCAAAAGCAGTGCAGTCAGAAGGACGAAAAGGCCCTGCAAGGCCAGCTGCAGCAGGTGTAGCAGGCAAAAGCAGCTGTCCAGAAGCATCAGGGGGAGGAGCAGGTGGCCTTCTGCCTCATTGTACAGTAGAAGCAGCCTGAGCAAGAAACAAGTTCCAGGTCTGGCAGAGCACCAACCATGGTTGTCGCTTGCTGCAGAGCCACAAGATGAACTGTGGAAGAGTGGGGCCCTTAACTGCGAGGTTGCCAGGTACCGCGAACAAGACTGGGCCTGACAAGAGTGCGCCAGAAATGCCTCCAGGTACCCAGACAGAATGAGAGGCAGCTCCTGGCCCTCTCTGGTTCAGCTGATCCACGAGACCGTGATTAAGGGGCCAAACCTCCATGAGGTGATTGGGGAAGGAGTCATTGTGCTAAGCGCTGCCTCAGGAATGACTGACCGTATTTGTGAGGAGACAAACTTCCCTAGTGAAGGGTGTGGGCGTGGCTGCCTCCTGTGCTGGTCATGCACACCCCTTCACTAGGGCTTATTTTTGGGGTAGGGTTTATTTTAGGCACAAACTTAAAAATCAGGCTAGGCTTATTTCTGGGGTAGATCTAATTTTCAGGAAAAATGGTGTGTGTGTGTAGTTTAAGATAAAAAACTAATTCATTTAATCTATAGAACTTGAAAGGAAAAATTATCTACAGATTATATTTCATTGATAAAATGTGATCCAAATATTGTTGTAATATATTATAAATATATGTATTCTTACATGTATACTTTTAAAATAAGATCATCTTTTGTATCACCAGTCAGTAGATCTGCTACACTGAGGACCGCACAACCAAAAGGTCGTCGATATTGTACATTGCAAGCATTTTTCTTTTCACCTGCTCCCATTCGGCCTGTCAAAACAAAATATATTGTGAAAGAAAAAAAACAAGAGACACTAAATAAATACATATCTTCTACCACCACCAGTTAATTTAATAACTTTATTGGATGCTAACTGTGCCAACATTTAAGAACACCTTCAATCTGTATCTTTCTGAATTGGCCTAATAGTGTGAAAAGTAGAAAAAATGCCTACATTAAACTATGTGAGCCAGCATTCTAAATTTGACTTTTCTTAGGAGCATCCACAGTTCACTATAAGCCCTTTATTGACATCAAAGAGGAACCTACATTCAATTTCTTAAGCTCCAGCTGTATATATTCACTAAATATTTTATCAGAAAAAGAGGTGTGCTCATACTCTCAATCTCTGCCTTAAATCCACATGAGCTATATATTTAAATTATGGAGCAACAAAAGGCACATTCTTATTAACAAATCACATACTTCATCATTGTTGTCACATCTTTGTTTTAAAATAGCCTGCACTTTTGCCCCTAAAGTTGCATTGGAATGTTTGTAGTAAAATTAAAAAAAGAACAACTCTAGGATCTAGTCTTGGCTTTGCAAGACAGAAATCATAGGCAATTGAATAGATGCACTTCAAATAGGAAATGAACTCAACAGAATACTTACTATTCCATTTACACTTGATACTCCACACACACGCACATAGACAAACACACATAAACACACAAACACACACATACACACATGTACATATATATATTTTCTTCCAGAGTAACTAGCTTAAGTGAACTTTAATAATTTTTCTGCATATATGAACATTTCAAAGTTTTAAAAAGCAGTAGTAACAATAACCTGTCAATTCCGGTGACTCTGCACTATAGTTTGATAGGATAGAAAACTGTTTATATCAGCCCTAAAAAGGATATGAGACTGACAAGTAATACATTTAATATAATGTATATGGCTCCTTAACAACAATTGCTGTACAATTAAAAGTTATCCTTCTTTAAGGATAAATTAGGAAAAATTAGTACATGCATACCAATACGTATAATGTGCACAGTAATGTAGATGTCCTTCCTAAGCTCACTGCTTCCCAAATCCTGTGAAGAATCAGAATAATCCAAAATTATCATATGATTTTTTACGGATTATTGATATAAACAATTGGAAAATTTTAAGTGTGCTTCTTCCTAGCATACTTGAATAGCAGTCAAGAAAAAAAATAAAATATGGGGTATTCAAATAGATTTCATTAACACAACATTTGTACATGTTCATGGTCCTGAGAAATGTTAGTAAAAATGTTAATGATGTAACCATCTTCTTTTTGGAGGTCTTTATTTCTCCAAATCTGTATTAAGTCAAGATTTCAAGTCAGAGAATTTGGAATGACTATTTCTAGGCTTCTAGCAGAAATAAGTCTCACTGTGCAGTTATGGTTGCAGCTCTAAGCATCCAAAACTTGTTATCCAGTTGCAGTTTTACTATGGTGCTGCCAGGAGTGCCAGCCAACTTTAAACCATAAATCTGTTTCTATCCATGAAAATAAATCCCATTCAGATTATTCTTAATACTTAATTTAGAAACTGTTTCTCGCAAGGTCCCACTGAAATGTTAAACTTCATGTTTCATATTGGAAAACAAAAGACTCCTTTAATTCCGAACTAAAATACATCTCAGAAGCAAACAGCTATCTTTTGTGCCTATCATATATTTAAATATAAAAATGCTCTACTTGTTAGATACTAGGCCAAATGGACAATTAAGTATATTATTATTATGTTGCTTTGTTCTTATAAACTTCTTAGATATTAGTCTGAAGCATCACTATTGCATGCACTCTGGTCATGTATTTGGATTACCAAATAAGTAATAAAAAACCTCATTAAAATACAGCAAATAAGGACAAATATAGAAACTCACCATAAAAAGAGAACAATATCTTTCTGGCTTCTCTGGACATTTTGGCAAACCATTCCGATTGAGTTTTAAAAAAAATCTCTCACTGTAAGATAAATATTATAATTGGAACAGGTAAATTTATTTGTCACAAAAATGTGCAAAAAAAAAATCCTTATTCAAGATTTGGATAAATAATATTTTTATCACTGTTTCCAAAACAATCTTTTCTAAAATTCTAGAACAAGGTTGCAAAACCAGCCATTTTTTAAAAATTTACCACAGTAACTTTGATACTTTGCCACTGATCTGGAATCAAAGCCCAGATGGCTCTTTAAAATAACCCATTGAATGAAGCAGCAACTCCTTAATTCTATTTTTCATAATTAAGGAGTTGTTGCTTCAGTCAATGAATTATTTTAAATTCATTTCACAACTAATATGTTACTGAACATATGAGGATCTATCAGGACTTCAACAAAGTAGTAAAGTTACTGGTAGAAAAATACTTGCTTTTTTAGTCCAAATCATAGTTGTATAATAAAGAGGAGGAGAAGTGACAAACAATTGACAAAATCATCTTAGATAAAAATTATTTGCCATACTTGTTTGGATGTTCATTTTTTTTTAGTAAATAAGAAAAGTAAATTATGGTTATTTTGTAAAACATGAATGAATAAAAGTATAGTCAAATGATTGATTAATAATGATACTAAGGTATTTAGTTTTTGATTGACAATATGAGATTATATGTAATGTAATTGTAATTGAAGACTACGAAATGGAAGCACAAAACAATTTGTAAACCAACCGGCACACTGTATGTACACCTATGGAAGACAGCTTGATGTTTTTATGTTTTGTTTGTTTATGTTTGTTTTTAAAAACCAATAAAATTTAAAAAGAAAAGAAAAGAAAAGTGAAAACTAAAAAGGATATTATTACTTGCTCTGTATTTTTAACCAAGAATTTCTATTCCCATTCTGGCTGATTTATCCTGATACAGGATAAAAGTGTGCTGAAAATGTTCTTGCAAGATAAAAACCAAAAAGGGAAAAAAGGAAAAAAAATTAAAATAAGTACATTCTACTTTAGTATGAAGTTCGTTTTCTTATATTTTATGAAAAAGGGAACAAATTATAAATCATTTATTCACTCATCAACTTTTCAGTCAAGAAAATCAATTAGAAACTGAAAATGCAATTTTAGGCTGACATTAAAAGAAATAATCAAAAGAAACAATACTGACAGAGTTAAATCCATAATTTGAGGAGTGAAGGGGGCTTCCCTTTCTGTGCCTTCTAATCATTCCAAACTTTTGTCATAAATAAGAGATTGCTCTGTGCATTCTTTTTTAACTAAAGCTTTCTCAGCTTTTTCTTCAGCTCTTCTCAAGGGCAAGTAATACGTCACCCATATATTTTTTCCCATATGCAACAGTAAAAATAGAAGCCAAAACATCTATTTAAGTCTTTTAAAAAGCAGAATAAAAGGGCTAATATTAACAGCTGCATCTTGTACATTTTCCCAACCTTTCATAAAGTTGAACAGTCTTCAATGAAGATTCCAATCTTATCACTTAAATTCAGATGAAATGCTTTAATTAATTCAAATTCAATATTAGAAATTCATAGGTCTGAAATATTCTATTTTCTACACAGGTTCTAATCTTTGGTGCCAAAATTCAGAGTCTCATGAGAAGTCATAGTTTGAAGGTAAGTAATTTTCATATTGACAAGGACAGATGAAAAATATTATCTGCTAAACTATTGTAAAAGAGTTAAAGTCTTCTAAAAAAACAACAATCCAGAGCAGTTAGGTAGACTAGTCAGATAAATTCTTTATTGTGGAAAAAATGTGGGGAGTGGGGAATTCTAGATTTAATAGGATCCTGTCTCTACATCTGCTATAGAAACACATTAGGTCTACAGGTAAGAGAACCCACTAACTAATACCAAATAAGGCCATGGCCCTTCTATCAAGACTCCTTCTATCACTAAATCTTAAGGGTTACCTAGCAGCCATAGAAACAATTATTAATTTCTCATAATGCCTCAGAAACAATGCTACATCAAGTGAATTATAGGAAATGAAATATTATATGGACAGACAGTTGGTGTTGTTCATGGCAATGAGTTAAAAAAAAGGCACAACACAAATCTCTATCACAGAGATCCTCAATTCAAGATCACCCATCCAAGTTCTTAATAATAAATACTATTACACCAAGCATGTCTAGAATTATTTCAGTATTGATGTTAATAATTATTGAACACTTTTGAGCAAACAGCAAATGTGAGCTTTTATTTTCAAAACTTTGCATAGTACCATGGATGTAATTTACACTGTATGCACAATTATTAGGCAAGTGATTTACACTGTATGCACAATTATTAGGCAAGTGAGTATTTTGACCATATCATCATTTTATGCATATTTTCCACTTCCAAACTGTATAAACCTGAAGCTTAGTGGATATAAGCATATCAGGTAATGTGTATTTGTGTAATATGGAAGGATATGGCCTAAGGAGATCAACACCCTATATCAAGGTGTGCATTATTAAGCAGCTTCTTTAACTCAGGCAAAATGGGCCAAAAAAAGATTTAAGTTTGAGTTTGAAAAGTCAAAATCATAAAAAGTCTTTAAGAGGGATGCAGCACTTGAAATTGCTAAGATTTTGGGGCATGATCACAGATCCATCAAACATTTTGTTGCAAATAATCAACAGGGTCGCAAGAAATGGGTTGAGAAAATAAGACGCACATTAACTGCCAAAGATTTGGGAAGAATAAAATGTGAAGCTACCAAGAACCTATTATCCTCCAGTGCTGTCATATTCCAGAACTGCAACCTACCTGGAGTACCCAGGAGTACAAGGTGTTCAGCACTCAGAGACACGGCCAAAGTAAGGAAGGCTGAAACCCAATCACCACTGAACAAGACAAGTTGAAATGACAAGACTGGGCCAAGAAATATTGGAAAATAGATTTTTCAAAGGTTTACTGCCAATTTTTACAAGACTCTTTCTTCAAGCAGTGGTACAGGAAAAAGTCTCCATCTTTTAAGAAGACCATGATTTTTATGCAGGACAATGTTCTATCACATGTATCAAAGTTCTCCACTGCATGGCTGGCCTGTAAAGGCCTTAAAGATGAAAGAATAAGTACATGGTCCCCTTCCTCACCTGATCTAAACCCTGTTGAGAACTTGTGGGCCCTTCTTAAATGGGAGATTTACGGTGAAGGAAAACAGTATGCCACTCTGAACAGTGTCAGGGAGGCTGTGGTTGCTGCTGCACAAAAAGTTGATTGTCAAGAAATCAAGAAACTGACAGAATCCACAAATGGAAGGCTTATGACTGTTATTGAAAAGAAGAGTGGCTATATTGATCACTGTTTTTCTTAAATGTCAGTAATGTTTTTTATACATTTTGAGTATTATTCTCACTTTAACAGATGCAAATAAGTGTGTGAGATGAGAAAGATCATTTTTCATTTAATTGCATAATCATTCTGCACACTAATAGTTGCCCAGTAATTGCT